TGCCTTGTCTTTTTTCCCGATTCTGAACCTTCCCTCCCGTTCCTTAGGCTCTCAGTCATTCTCTGTTCTGTCTTGCTTCTTCCAGCTCTGGAGATTTGAAACTTCCCTTCTCTCCACTCATTCTTACTGACTGGGTTTTCTACAAACTGAGGCATCTCTTTCCTCAGAATTATCGCTTAACCTTAAACTGTAAGCAAGAAGGGCTAGAATTCTCTGATGTTGGGGCATTCACGGCATGTACTTGCTAACACTTTACTGCTTATGGGGCCGTGACATTTATACTATCTGCCTCACAAGAAGCATAAATTCTCTCAAAAGACAGCTTCAAAGAATGGAAATTACTTGCCCAACCAAGGTCCCAGCAGGCAAGTGTGGAGCTAGGACTCAGGCCCCCTCTCCCGATTCTACATTCAGGGTCTTTGCACGCTAGCCAGGCCCAGTGGTTATCGACACAGGCACTCACTAAGTCAGCAGGAAAGATGATTAAAGGCAGTTAACCAAGTCGAAATCCTAGCTGTAGCACCACCCCCCCATGTGACCTTGGCCACTTTCTCTTAGCCTTACTAGAGTCTCAGTTTCTTCTCTGTAAAATGGAGCTAAACTGGAATCCACTGTCGTTGGATAGGAAGATATGCATGAGGATTAAGTGAAACAATGACTACAGATCAATCAGAACAGTAACTGGCACAAAATAAGTGCCCAGAATACGTTAGCTGTGATTATAAAAAACAACGATCTAGTGTCTTGTCTTCCTTAGGTTTCCGAAAATATTCTCGAAATTCTGCTTAAAAAAAAAAGATAGCAAAGCAACAGGCCTGTGAGGGGGGACCAAGTATTGAATATTTATGTGTATGTAAACCAGGACCTTTTAAAATACTCAGCTCCATGTATTCACAGAAACACTAACTGATGAAATAGTGACCTTCCTAAGTCAGAAAACAATCTTTAGCAAAAAAAAGTGTTAGGAATGTTCTCACCAAAAAAAGGACTTCAGTACTAGAGAATGTCACTCCACCAGACAAAACTGCAGCGGACTCAGAGAAATGATACCCTCGCATCAATGTGGTAAGAACCTCATGAGGCCCCAAGAGAAAAGGGAGGGGCCCAGATGCTGGACAGGGCCCAGGGAGTAGGACCCCTTTATGTAAAACATGTCACTTCTGCCCCATCCTAAAGGTAACTGAGAGGAAGACCACATATGGCTACGTAGATGCACTGAACTCTGATGCTTTCAGGAAGAAAGACATCTGGCCTAAGCGGACCTACTGCCCAGCAAACTCCCAGAAGGCAGAGTGCACAGTAGATTGATAGCACGCTTGCTCGGAGAACTTCAGGAAGGCCTCCTCTAACCTCTGCTTTTTGTACTTTGCAGGAGAGGTAACCAACACCCAGCCATGGATATGGACTCCTCAAAGTCTGAGTAATGAGCTCTTGGCATGGCTTACCAAGTGCCAGGCACTGTTCAGAGCCCTCCCCTGTGGAACGTACACAACTCTCCTAACAGCCCGGGATGGCAGCAGGCACTGTTACCATCCTCCCCTGGGAAACGGAAGCACCTGGAGGTCAAGCACCTGGCCCACGGTTCCAGAACTAGCAAGTGATGGCTCCCAAGCTTAGGATCCCAGACCCACAGTGCAGGTCTCATGGGTTCCAGGTTGAACAGTGATTGAGATGCTACCTTTTGTAGGAATTATTTTTTGAAAAATTAATACTAGCCCTTGAAAACAAAGAATTCCTTTCTCCCTCTCCCTCTCTCTTTTTTTTTTTTTTTTGGTTGTACTAAGATTGAACCCAAGGCCTCTACACTGAGCTGCATCCCCAGCCCTTTTTTATTTTGAGACAGGGTCTCATTAAGTCGCTAAACTGCCCAGGCTGCGTTTCAATTTGTAATCCTCCTGCCTCAGCTTCCTAGAGTGCTTGGGCTTATAGGTGTGTACCACCATGCCTGGCTCCTTCAGTACTGAAAACAGTATTTCATCCTAAAGCTGGAAGACACTATCCTGGACTTAAACCCATAAACTTAGCCTAGAAGTAAAGTTGTAAACTGGAGTAAAAGACTTTGGCAGCAAGATGAGCAGTGTGTGGAGAGGCAGTGAGAGAGATAAGCCTGACAAGAAGCCAGCCTTCCTGTCCTGCAAGTCTGAGCAGGGGCTGATCAGCCAGCCAGAAGCTGCAACCCGAGACTGAGTCTGCCTTCGCCCAGCAGAGGCCTTAAAGGCAGAGCAAGCTGTGGCAATCCATCATCAAGGACTCACAGCCACCTGCCAAAGGCAGGGTACCATGAAGCTGCTACCAACTGGGACCTGCCTGATGCCAGGCACATTACAAAGCTAGTTTTCCAGGCGAGGAGCCCTTCTTCAAGGGGAGCTGAGGGGAGAAAACAATGCTATGGCCAGGCCCCAAAGAAACCATTTACCTGCACTGGATCATTTTAGAGCTCCTGCGAGGCTCCAGAAAGGGGTCTCCCTGAGAGCTGGGCCTTGCCAGTTCATCTCTGTAACCTAGGGCCATGCACAGACCCTGAAAACCACAGGCTCCCTGTAAATGCCTCCTGAACGAATATAAACTCAATGCGGGCACTTAGATAGGGCCTGAAGAGCTAGGTTACAAGTCAAATGCTAAATATTACCGTTTTTTATGAGATGTATTACAAGAAATGCCCAGCAGAGGTCAGAGTACTGTCTTTAGGGGGTGGGACTGATCATTTTGTCCACAAAACACTGTTAAAGGGATAGGGAAAGGAGGAGCCACTGTGGCTGGGGAACTCTGTGGGCAGCCTTCATGCTTGGGCCTCAATAAGCTTTCCTTCTATACTCCTCTCGCGATCCCTTGCTGCTCCCATTCACCACAGATGAAACTTTTCCACTACTGACTCTAATCACAAAAGATTCCTGGTTTTTCTTCTCTCGTTCCAGGCAAATGCTTTATTTACTTACTTGTTTATTTAATTAATGAATTTAGTTTGCAGGGCTGGAGATTGAATCCAAGGCCTCACCTCACACATGTCAAGCCAGCGGTCTACCACTGAGTTTCAAGCCTTCGGCCCTTGTATTTTATTTACTTATTTATTTATTTTGGTACCGGGGATCAAACTCGGGTCCTTGCGCTTGCGCAGCAGGCAGCGAAACCACTGAGATGAATCCCTGGCCCATCTTGTATTTTATTTTGAGACAGGGTCTCCCTAAGTTACCCAGGCTGCTCTTTGAACTTGTGGTCCTCCCACCTCAGCCTCTTGAACAGCTTGGATTACAGCTGTACACCACTGTGCTAGGCTCAAGTGCTTTTCCCTCCCGGTGCTGGAGATTGAGCCAGGGCATCATGCACCTTAGGCAAATGCTCTACCACTGAGCTATATCCCTGCCCTTCTTCTAATATTCCAAAAATTACTTCATCTCATGAAAACTTGCCACTATGTGAGACAGTTTCCACTTAAAGCAGAAGTAGAGAATTTCCTCCCAAAGTCTGAATGGACTGTAAATTCCTCAAGGCATTTAAAGATGAGACTCAACATACATACAGTGTATGGCTGCATACTTAGCTGACATCTTACTTGTTAAGGGAGGGCTTATGGAAATAATTTTCTCTAATTTCCTTAATATGTCCAAATGGTATAAAATTAATGCCCTATCTTCACTTGATCTTAGCCAAAAGGCAGAGAAGCAACATTAATGCCCTAACTTCTCGAAAATGGCTCTACGTAGGCTGGGGAGTGAGTCTCCAGAAATTTCGGGTCAGCCTAAATAGGTCACTTCTACAAAAGACAGATCTGTCTTGATCAGTATTTGGGAATTCTTGTAAAATCTGCTGACAAAGACAGGAACAAGTATCTAATCTCCATGAGTCAGGTACGTACGTGGCCACCCAAAACTGGCCCTGGCCCCAGAACATTCTGCAGTAATCCATCAGTAATTACATCCGCCAGCAAGGGCAGACCCACCCTGAAGAAGGGGGTTCGAACTAGCCCCTTGCACTTGCCTGTTATTTTCTTAGGAAGCTCAGCTAGAAGCCTGAGAGAAACTGGGAAATGCTCTTGGTAGCTCCTGGGGACCACCATAAGCATTCATGAATATCCTATTGTCAAGTCTTGATCAATCTGCCAATGACTCTCCCTTCAAACAGCTGCAGGAGCCCTCCAAGAACAACCAATGTGTTCTGAGTGGCAGAACCAGCTCCTCAGACAGCCAGACTATCTGGTCTGTTCAAGAAGTAAAGGAGATATGCTGCTCCAGTGGGTTTTTACTGGGCTCAGAGAGGAGTTAGAAGAGAGGTTTTAGTTCAAAAAGGAAAGAAGAAAGTAAAGACAGTATTATGAGCCTATTCCACTGAATCAGATTATTTTTCTAACTATTCCCTAAGATAAATTTCTTTTAAATTTTTTTGTTGGTGGTGATAGTGGGAATCGAACTCAGGGCCTCGTGGTTGCCAGGCAGGCACTGCACCACTGAGCTACATCCCTGGCCCCCTTTTAAGTTTTTCAAACGGAACTCACGGTATCTGATTTAATTCACAAATGCAAAACAAAGGCTAGTGACACAGAAATATTGAGATAATTAAATGCATCGATGAGCAGAATAAAGTATGAGTAGTTACCAGGCAATCAGAAGGCAGAGTGTTTCACTGTGCACTAGGGACTGCATCAGTTCTGCTCTGAGACAAACCCAGTGTGGATGGGCTCCCTGAGGAGAAAGCTCAGGCAGGACGGGGCCCTGGGCACAGATGCATTTGTTTTGTTTGAAGACAAGCCCTGGTCCAAGGAGCCCTGCATGAGGCTTTTCAGCAGGGAGCAAGCTTGACCAAAGGGTGCCTGGTGGCCCTAACCTGTCAATGTCCAGCAAACACTTGAGTTCTCCTGGATGACAGGCTAACTTGCATTCCCTCTGGTCTCTCTGGAGAAGGCTGGTGCTATCCGACCCCGGAAATGCTTGGGGCAAGGCAGAAGGAAGAGCTCCGTTCCTGTTGGTGGAGCAGAGGCAAAGGTGTCACCTCACCATGTTACTGACCTGCTGTAGAGGGTGGAGTCGGAGATGACGGTGTGAGAGGTGAGCTGGCCCCAGATCCTGCTAAGATAAAACAGAAATGCTCATGGGGACCAAGGAGAGGCACTTGGAATCTGGTGCAAACAGAAACCCACTGTTGTCTGCGAACTTGCACGTGGCCTAGTGTGTCAGTCACAACGTGATAAGGGACAGAAACCTGGGAGGCTGGACTGCGACAGGCTGTCGCCCTAGTGCAAGGTCAGCTTCCTTCCCAGGCCACTAGGGCAGGCTAAGGAGTCCCCTGCCGCACTCCGCTCGCCCAGTTTGAAGCCAACTTGGCACAATCAGTGGCTTAGGCAGTTGGCTGCAGTATCTCTTTCTGACCCAACCCCAGGCCTAGGCAATGACGAATGACAGTGGCCAGAGCAGTACAGGAGACAGAGAGGCACACAGCAGCCGGTGGGGCCTCGCTAAGGAAAGGAAGGCTTCCTCACAGCATCCGCCGGCACTGCACTCTGCAGAATTGCCATTTTAAAAGGATTAGAAAAGCCTGAGGCCATGTGGTCTCTGGACTTTCTAGTCCTTTTCTTACATGCAATTCAGTAAATCCCCTCATTTACAGTGAAACAAGAGACTGACCACAGGGCTCCTGATGCTCACCCCTGGCCTTCTTCTAGCTCTCCGATCACTCTCCCTTTTGAATCTTCAGTCTCAGTCTCAGTCCCTGCCCCCTCTCTCTGCACCCCGTCTTTGTGTGCTAGGTCCTAAAAGTATAATCAGCTGACTCTCAAATCTGTTTCCCATGGTGCTTCAGGGCTATACCTGATGCCCAGTTAGAGTGAAATCTTCTCTATGTCAAATTCTACTTCACAGATCCATAAACTACAACAACTGGAAGAGCCACTGGGATCTTTCAATCTGGCCCTGATTTTTAAACACGGGTACATTTAAAGCCCAAGCCAGGGAGCTGGGAGTGGCAGTGAGGACTGCCAACTCAGGAGAGCGTTCTTCACACCATCATGGCCTGTCTGGAAAGATACTTCTGGACATCCCAATACACAGGCCTTTCCCTAACCCACACAGGGTACACATCCTTCCACCACATGGGGTCCAGAGCAGAGGGCAGGACTGGGGATCATTTCAGTTTATGCAGGCTCTACCAAAAACCAGGAGGCCCTACATTTTAACTTGGGTCTGTTTTTCTAACATGGAAGATCTCCTGTGTCTTTGGTTGACTGAATCTAGTCATAAGAGGCAGAGCTACCCAGTAACATCTGAGGCCCACCCAGCATTTGAGTCCTGTGCCTACAGATACTGTCACAGTCCTTTATGAGGGACAGAATTCTTTTGTTCTCTGTACTCATTACCATACTGTCTCATCTTTGCCCACCAGAACCCCAAACCTCTGGGCCAACTACAGACTCCTGATTCTGACCTCCGGATTAGGGGCCCCTACAACCTATAATCAGTTACCTGAATTGTTAGAGTTGCTGTACTTCGTTGAATGCTCTTCACTATTTTCAATAGCAGATCGCTTTGACTTCTTTAAAGATAAAAGAAGGGGAGGGAGCAAAGAATCAACACAATGAAGCTGAGAGTTAGAATCAAAGCTTTCCAGGCATACAGTTTAGCGATAGACAAGGTCGTAGTTGACCTCCTAACTTAATACAGTGAAGAAGCCACAAGCCAAAACTAAAGGGGGAAATAAAACCAAGAATGCTGACTTTACTCTCTCAAGCCAATAGTTCCCTCCAATCACATCATGCCATAATGAGCCCAGCAAGCCAGGAAACTATGTGGTCCACTGCTCTGCTAATATTACATGGCTTTTTAAAAAGCTACAAACCAGTCATCTGGAAATACTTTCAGCTTTGAAGGAGATAGAGCACAAAATCTATCATTACATGTAGATCATTAGCCTAGAACATTTTCTTATATGTAGTTAAGAACTGACAGGAAGGATTCAGACACTAGGCTTACCTTCCGAGCCAAAATCTTTCTCTTTTTTCTTTCTTCCTCAGATCCATGGTGTGACTGAGCTCTGGTCAGTCTTCGATGCTGGTGAATCTTTAAGAGACCACAATTCAACAGAAATCTAAGTATATGCTAAAGGCAGTTTCTTAATGACATTTTTCTCCAACCATGTTTTGCCAAATCAAATTATTTGATGAAAAAAAATTTTCTTTGCTAAGCCTGAATGCCTCCTGGCTTGGGTCTGGAAGAATACGCTAGGGGATGAAGACCTGCTTACTCCCCCAGTTGCCCCCTGCCTTCTTTTTCATGGAGAAGAATGGGATCTGTGGCATCTGTACAGCATGGACCGTGCAGGCCCCGACTGCCCCTCCTGGCGTGTCCTGACCGTACAGGATGTCCGCCCTTTGTACATGGGTCGGGTTCTCCACAGACTGGGCTGCTTGAGGACACAGTGAAGTATTTAGTTCTGGGCAGTAGTGTCTTGTCTGGAACCTGGTTGGCAGAAAGTTATGTCCAAAATGTTTAGAGAGTGAACAGTCTGTCAAGACAGCCACTGTGAATGCCACAGGACAGGATGGGGACACTAAGATCATAGGGCAATGAGAAATGACTATTTACCTGTTTCTGTTCTTCAATGAGTCTCTTTTCTACAGATTCTTTGGCAATTCTCAATGCCTCTTTTAACTTTGTGGGAATCTGAAAGAAGAGAAAGTGCATCGATGAGGTGCCTGGAGATTTTGAGACCCAGAGGCAATGAGGAACAGCTGGTTATCAAGAAAGCAGTCCTCTGAAATAAAACCAGTTAAAGCTGTCTATTTGAATTCTATCCCAGTCACATTTCATATCCCCAACCCCTCTAGCATTTTTAGTAACAAACAAAAACAAAAACAACTAAAACATTAACATGATACATATTTCAAATGGGATCTCAAATTGCCAAAACAATCTTAAAGAAGAAAAACAAATTGGGAGACTCACACCTCCTGATTTTGAACCTATTACATATCTACAGTAATCAAAACTGTGGTACTGGGCTGGGGATTTAGCTCAGTGGTTCTGCCGCCTGCCTCGAAAGCACAAGGTCCTGAGTTCAACCCCTGGTACCAAAAAAAAAAAGTGGTCCTGACAGAGGGACATGCCTAGACTAATGGAACACTACAGAGAACCTACAGGTACATGGCAAGGGTGCTAAGAATGGACAATGGGGAAAGCACAGTCTCTGATAAGGGGCAGCGGGAAAACTGGGATATCTACATTGCAAAGGATGGAGGCTGAACCCTTACCTCCTCATACCATAAACAAAAATTAATTCAAACTGGGTTCCAGATTTAAATATAAGACTAAAAACTATAAAACTCCTAAAAGAAAACAGGAAAAAAACTTCCTAACACTCGATTTGGGGATGATTTCTTGGCTATGACACCAAAAAATAAAACCAAGCAGTGAAAAGAAAAAAAAGATAAACTGGATTTCCTCAGAATTTAAAACTTTTGTGCAACAAAGGACACTACCAACAATGAAAAGGCAAATATTTGCCAATCATATATTTGGTAAAGGTTTAATACCCAGAATATACACAGCAACTCCTGTAATTCAATAACAACAAAAAATATGTAACCCAATTCAAAATTGGGTAAAAGACATAAATAGACATTTCCCCCAAGAAAATATACAAATGGCCAAAAAGCATAAGAAAGCTGCTCAACATCTCTAATCACTACACCAAGGCAAATGGAAACCACATTGAGATATTACCTCACACACACTGGGAGGGCCACCATCAAGACAAAGTACCGAGTGTTGCTTGGATGTGGAAAAACTGGAGCCCTTGTCCATGGCTGGTAGGACTGTAAAGTGGTACAACCACTAGGAAAACAATTTAGAGGCAACTCAAAAACCTACACATAGGGCGGGGGATTTAGCTCAGTGGCACTGAGCCTGCCTTGCAAGTGCAAGGTCCTGAGTTTGATTCTCCGCACAAAAACAAACAAACAAAAAACCCCTACACATTGCTCTACCATATAATTCAGCAATTCCACTTCTGGCTATATAGTCAAAAGAATTGAAAGTAATACCTCAAAAAGACATCTGCATACTCATGCTCATTACAGCATTATTCAAAATAGCCAGAAGTGGAAGCAGCCCAAACATCTAGCATAAAAAAGACATAAAGAAAATATAGTTTGTGTGTGAATACAGACACACAGAGAAGAATATTATTTAGCCTTTAAAAAGAAGCAAATTCTGTTGTATGTTATAACATGAGTAGACAATGCTGAGTGAAATAATTCAATCACAAAAATACAAATACTCAGGGGCCGGGGATTCAGCTCAGTGGTTCCACCTCCTTCCTCTAAAGCAAAAGGTCCCGAGTTCGATCCCTGGTACCAAAAAAAAACCCCAAATGCTCAATGCTTCCTTTAAGTTTGTGGGAATCTGAAAGAGAGTATACCCTCTGCTGAATAATGTTGCTCAAGATTTTGAGTCCTAGGGCCAAGGAAAAAAAAGCTCAGTGGTTCTGGTGCCTGCCTCACAAGTGCAAGGTCCTGAGTTTGATCCTTGATACCAAAAAACAAAAGATTCTGAGTCCTAGAACAATGAGGAGCAGTTAGTTATCAAATATAACATATATATTATAATATATATATATATTCTACTTATTTGAGGTATCTAGAGTGGTCAAAGTCATGGAAACAGAAAATAAAATGACAGTTACCATGAGCCAGAGAGAGAGGGAAGTGGAAAGTTGTTCTACACGTATGGAGTTCCGCTTTATAGTCTATTACACAACAATGTGCAGACAATTACAGCACAAAACTGTGCACTCAAACATGATCAAGAAGGCTGTGGGGTGATGCACACTTGTAATTTCCGCTGCTTGGCCTCTGATCAAAGCAAATTCAAGGTCAGCCTGGGCTACTTAGTGAGACCCTGTCTCAAAATTCATCAAGGGCTGGAGATGGCCCAGTGGTAGAAGGCTTGGTTAGCATGTGCAAGCCCTATGTTTAATCCCCAATAATACAGGCACGTGCACACACACACACATGCACACACATGTTATAGGTGGGCAGATTTTATATTATGTGATTTTTGGTACAATTTAAAAAATACATGAAGCTTACTGGAACACACACAAATTCAAGTAATCATAATATTTCATAACTTTAGAGAAAATTTCTCTGTGAAAAATTTACATTTTGAATTTCACAGATTAGCTCTTTTTCCTGTTGGGAAATAATTCTAACCATATCCTGAATGTATTATCTTTTTAAACCATGCCGAGTGGAGGCCTGGAAAACAGACACCCAGGTAAAGCTGGTCATGCTGAACTTTTTATTATTCTTTTCATATTGAAATTTAAAAAGTACTGAGTAGGTCATATAGTCTAATGGTTCAAAATCCGAAATGTATAAAAAGGTGTATACACAGGAAAAGTCTCCACCTCATCATTTCCTGTGTAACTTCCCACAAAGTCAATGCACATACAAGACATTGATGTTAGTGTTTAAAATCACATTTTTTCTTGTTTGTTTTGTTTTTTTGGAACAGGGTCTTGCTATGCAGGTCAGATTGACCTTAAACTCACAGCGATCCTCCTGCCTCAGCCTCCAAAATACTAGGATTACAGGCATGCGCCATCACACACAGCTAAAATCACATTGTTTGTGCTGTGAGGATCTCTGGTTTGGAGGAGGACTGAAGTCTAACCCTAATCCCTGAATCTTGAGGGCTGGAACATCAGGATTTCAGGACAGCATGCTTATTGACAGGCTGAATGAATACATTTCCTAAGAAGATTCAATGAAGAAGGATGAATTTGAACTTAGAAAGCTTTTTCCTCCTTCAGAGCCAAAGAAACTTTTGTCACAACTCTGGCAAACAGAGCAGAAGAAGGGTCTATTACCTATACGATCTTCTACCCCCACCTTGGTACTATTTGTTTTCCTTTCTAACTTTATTTTCATAATAGTGTGATGTGTTCTTTGGAAAAAAAAAAATTTTTTTTTCCCAGTACCGGGGATGGAAGTTAGAACTTTGTGCTTGCGAGGCAGGTGGTGGAACCACTGAGCTAAATCCCCAGCCCTTATGATGTGTTCTTTTGGAATACAAGAAGGAGAGAGAGAATTCCCCTTCGGTCTCCCACTCAAGTCAGTACGACCTGCACACTGGTGAGAACCAGGCTCTGAACTGGGAATTCACCAAGATCGCCTCAGTGTCCACTGACAACAGAATGGTGGGACTCAGGCATTGTACACACAGAGACTGAAAGGTTAAGCACTTGGCCATGGGTCAGAGGCTCTCAACTGGGGACAGTGAAACTTGCATTGCTTTGGGCCCTTCCTGTAGTGCTGGAGATGAAGCACAGCCTGGTGTGCGGAAGCCTAGCACTCTACCACCCAGCTACACCCCAGCCCTTGTCTGCAGAAACCTCTGGTCGCCGGAATAGGGGAGAGGCCAGGAGCATCACCAGCACTGAGGGGAAGGCCAAGGCTACTGTGTCACCCCTGCAGGACGCAGGCCAGCTCCCGCAGCAAGGAATCATCTGACCCAAAACATCAAGTGTCGATGGCTGGCGGCCCAAGAGCAAAGCAAGGCCCCACTCTAGTTTCTAATCCTCCTGAAGCCCCCACTCTTCCAGTGACACCACCACTGCCTCCCAGGAGACTCCTTCCGGACTCTCCTCTAGAGACAGACGGGTAGCTTCACACACTGTACATTATGTCCTGCTTCTCTGAACCTTAGCCCAAACCACGGTAATTTCCATACTACCAACATGTCTTTATAAGTTTCACTCTATTAGATGAAATATTTTTCAAATAGATGTATTATGAACTATAAAACTAGACATTTAGATTATTTCCAGATTTCCTCTATTGCATACCTTTTCTTTTTTAGTTTAAAAGAGGTAATTGTCAAAGCCAGCTCATTTCTATCACAGGCAAAACATTATCTGCTTTACCTTAAACTGTGGCTTTTCAGACGTGGTTAGTAAAACATCACTGAATAATCTGTAAAGAAAAGAAACAAACAACAAAATCTTCATTATGTAAGGGGCCTTCTTGGAAGAGGATCAAAGCAGATTTCGGCCCCCCTAGCCCCTGGAGCCTCCCTTCTCCCAGCACATACCCAGCCCCCAGTCCACCTTTCGTGTGTACCAAGAAAGGCAAGGGAGTCACAGATCACCAAGTGTGACTCAGGACCCTCAGCTCCCCACTGCGGCAGGACTGCTACCAGGAGACTGGGCCAGCTGAGTACTTCAGGTTGTTTCCCCATTGTAGGGCGATGTGGTATTTGAAAAAAAAAAAGATATTTTTGCAAATAGCAACTTGCAAAGATACTGCAAATATAAGCAGTAGATACTTCTAAACAGAATAGTTGTTTTTCCTTTTTTTTTTTTTTGCCTCAATAAAATTTATTCTAGAGCTCAGTAAAAGATAAATGTTCAAATAAACAGAGAGGAATGATTCTGATTAGAATCTAAGAGAAAAATAATTTACTTCCAATTGTTTCTCAGGCTTCATTAAAAAAAATAGCAGCTTTGGGGATATATAAATTCTCTCTTCAAAAGTATGTTATTAAAAACAACAGCATGGGCTGAGGGTATAGCTCAGTGATGGAGAGCTTGTCTAGCATGCACGAGGCCTTGGGTTTGATCCCAGCACCCCAGCCCCCAGGCCAGAAAGACAGCAGCACGAGGAACTCGGAGCGGCGCTGACCAGATCGGTTGCTTGGATAGTGCCCACCTCGCCGTGAGACTTCCCTTGAATATTACCCCTTTGGTGAGGACAAGCAATTCATCCGAGCAGAAATGACAAGGTGTCTTTACTCTAGAAAGCTCCCCAAAGCCCTCGCCCTCCCTGCCACGCCTCCTTTACTTCCAGGCAACACATCTAAGTGCACACAAGTCACACCTCCTCCACTGCTCTTCTCCAGGCTGAAGCCCACAGAGTAGAAAGACTTAGGCGGAGAACAAAATGTTTGCATGAGTGAACTGGAAGAATGGTAGAAAAAAATCCAAGTTCAAGGCTAGCCTGGGCCACTTAGCAAGACCCTGTCTCAAAATTAAAAAGGGGTGGGAAGTAGCTCGGTGGTACAGAACCCCTGGGTTCAATCCCCAGTACCGAAAAATGAAACGAAACAAAACAAAACAACTTGCAGAAAGAATGAATAAGGAACCTGAGGCCACCTGCCTCCTCTGAACGCTAGCTGCACACACAAGCTTTCCCTTGCCTTGCTGCCCGTTACTGTTTCCTGGGTGTATCTGTTAGATGAGAAGCTGGTAAAGACAAAAGAGCGCCAGGGTCAGGAAACGCTGCTCTACCATTCTCGTAATTTTAAGGGAGAATGGCTTCTGAGGGCCAAGTCTGTAGCACAGTCCCTGGTACAGCCCGATGTTTAATAAATTATACCCAGTGAGGAAAGGACCGAACAGCAGCATAGCAGCCCAGAAACACACGCCTTCTCCAGGAGGGCGGACCCTGCCGGGCCACAGCGGGCGGCCAGCTGGTGCACTGGGGTAGGCTCAGGAGGAGAGGCTCCTCGGCATTTCCTAAGCTGGGTGCCACATGTACTCACACGGCGCTAACGTTGACGGAAGAGAGACACACGAGAAAAGGATGAGGATGTTCAAGGAGAGCAGCCAGACTAGGAGCGGAGAGGTCACAAGGAAACAGGCAGGGTACCATGCTGTAAGTGAACATCTGGAAGCAGGTCACTTCAGCTTTACGGGGACCGCGGCTGAGTACCAGGCCCTGCGCACAGGGGTTGGGGGTCCAACACAGTTATTAAGATCACAACCAAGGCATGTGATTGACTTACGGCATCTGTAAGAGCCGGGAGGTGGTAGGCATGCCATTTTTACAGGCTTCACAAGACAGCGTAGACTCCAACACGGCCACTTGAAATGAACAGATACACATTTTAGTTCCACGGAACACTGCTGGCGAGTCCACCGGGCGATGAAAAGTTTGACACAGCTCTGCAACAACTGTCTGCAGGCTGATTTGAACAGTGTCAAAACTCTTCACACACAGACAGATGGCATACGGGGGGAGGGGGACGCTGGCAACCCTGGAGTCACCGGTGACTCAGAAGAAATGCCTCAGAAACCACGTGTGGACAGAAAGCCAAGGGCACCTCGGCGATAAGTAGAGGAAGAGGTCAAGATATCATTCATAAAAGTGTTTGTTCTCCTAAAAACGAAGTAAACACTACCCAGAAGCAAAATTCTGAACCTGAAAGACATTTTGCTGCTTGCCTGGTTTTTAATCAAAACCAGTAGATGAGAGGCCAGTTGCTGATACCTCATCATCCATCACCGTGGATGCCATACACGAGAGCAGCCAGACTCTTCCGGCGTGGTACACTGCTCAGTTGCATGGTGCCCCGAGAGCTCACCTGCCCTTCTTTCTCTGCATGGCCCTGAGTTCTGTGCTGGCTGCAGGGAGAATGGGAGAACCCCTGGCTGAGCCTGTACCAGCAATGCTGGAAGAGCTCCAGGATCCCGTCTGTTTGGGAGTCGGAGCTCCTGGCTGGGCCTGCGGGGCTCTTCTCTACTCCGCTCCCAGCCTGTGGCTCTTGTGTCCCTTTCCAGTCACATGCCACCTGCGGGCTGACTCCTGACACCTGGCTGAGTCCTCAAGACAGGCTTCAAGTTGTTCCGCCCTGGCTTCTGCATCTGATTAAGACTCTTTACAGCAGGCCAGGGATTTAGCTCAGTGGTTCCGCCACCTGCCTTGAAAGCGCAAGGTCCCAAGTTCGATCCCCAGTAAAAAAAAAAAAGAGTCTTTACAGCAACTTGCTTCCAAATTCTAATGTAGTTTACAGAAAGTTTCTTATGGGTCTCAGTCTGAGAGACAGGTCATTTGGAATATGTTTCTGGTTGCGGAGGATGGCAACTTCCTCTGGGCCTTTCCTGGACTCTGGAAAGGCAGTGAGCAGCTCTGCAGACTACCAGGACCCAGAAGACCCGCCCAAGCCCCATACTGACCCACAGCCATGGATGGTGCAGGAGGAAAGGAGTGCACAGGCACCGAGTCCGGTGGTCGTCCATACGTCATTTCGTATAGTAAGTGACCAAAGCAGTGGACATCCACGCTTTCCAGGGTCTGGGAGAGAAAGACAGCAGGGCTGCGTTCATCCCTCAGTTTGGCTTTGTGGCTCCCATGCCCCTGCCCCAGGCTTCCACTGAGAAACAAGGCTCTCGGGCAGTCCCACTCCAAAATGAAGCTCAAATCTTTTAGTAAAAGCTCACAAGGCAACTGGGCATAGTGGCACACGCCTGTAGTTTCAACACTGGGGAGGCTGAGGCAGGAGGATGACTGTGAGTTCAAGGCCAGCCTGGGCTACATAATGAGTTCAAGGCCAGCCTGAATTACATAGCAAGACATTGTCCCAAGAAAAGAAAAAAGAAAAAAAAAAAAAGGCTCACGAGGCATCCTTTTAACCAAAACGTGTGGTCCTACCTTCTATGGTTTTCCAATCAATCACTCTGCTCCCTTCCTTGCCCCATTTGCCATTTCTTTTTTTTTCTTTTCTGATTAAGTTTATTGGTACATTTTAGGTATACAATACTGTAAACTCCCATCTGCCATTTAAACTTAGCCGTGGGATATACCTAAAAATGAACCTACTGTTTAACTGCTTGAGTAACTTACATTGATTTTCCTGAATTGCGTGAAGTAGGGTCGGTAGAATGAAGGAAGGCCCAGTAAGGAGTTCTCAAGGTCTAGCAGCCGGCAAGTGTCCCCATCTAGCATCACATTAGAGGCATGAAGATGCCCATAAGGGAATCCCTTGTCGTGTAGAAACTTTAGCACCTGTTAACAAGTATGTACAGGTTATATCCCCCCAGCTCACTCAGAGGACGGAACCGCTGGGGTGCAGCTCAGTGGTAGAGTGTGTGCCTAACATGCAGGAGGACCTGGCTTACATGCCCCAGTAGGAAGCCTTGGGTTCAATCCTCAGCACCAAAAACGAATCAAACAAATAATAAGAACTTTTTTTTGGTACCGGGGATTGAACTTGGGTCCTTGTGCTTGCACAGCAGGTGGTGAAACCACTGAGCTAAATCCATGGCCCAAGAACTTCTTTTTTTTAACTCAGTATGTTTTGAAACAAAATCAAACATGTCACTGGGGGGACTGCAGAAGAAAATCCCACCTCCTCTCATTCTTTGGGAAAGGGAGCAATGCTGAATCTTTCCAGCACCAAGCTCCCTCTTTCCCAAAGAACAGAGGAGCAGCCGGAGAGAACAGCTCTGACACCAAAGGCTCTGCCGCAAGCACCTTCCGATCCCAGTGCCCAGCGCTCTCAGGCAGGCCAGATCCTCCTGCACTGACAAACAATCCATCACATTAGTGCCTCTGCCAGCTGCAAGAAGAAGGCTGAGATGAAAATAGCTCTGGTCTCATCTTTGCTCAAATTAACCTGTTTATTAATAGAAACACACAGCAATCTTCCACAAAAAGAAGCGACTTTTCAGCTGCCATTTAAATAAACAGTGGCTCCCCAGGAACAGAGATGGCTCCACACAGCTGCAAAGACCTGGAGAAACAGCTGTGACAGGTAAGGAGGTGCCCAGGGCACCGTACTGAGGACTGAAAGCAAAGAACGCAATGCTCTTTTTAGCTTTAAAAATCTTATTTTCTCTTACGTTCAAAAATATACTAGCAGTAGTGCATGTATGTCACTTACAGTTAAATATATGTAACATGGGGGAGTGTTGTGCTTAAGTATTTTTATTGCACAATCCAAGAAGCTTGGAGAACATGATCTAGAGTGACATGGGAAAGCCTTTTCTTTTCTCTCTCTCTCTCTCTCTCTGTCTCTTTTTTTTCTTTTTTGGTGCTGGGGATCAAACTCAAGGCCTTCTGATGTGCAGAACACATGCTAAACTGAGCTTTGTCTCCAGCCCCAGTGGGAAGTTTCGCTGCTGGTCACACTTCTTCAAGGGAGATACAGAGGTATATATCGATATGACAGAATAAAAAATGTTGGCACAGAGATTCAGATCAACTGAAGATAACACAAAAGTTATCACTCAGCAAAGTTCTTAGAAATCAGACACAAAATTCCAACAGCTATGGGCTGGGGACTTAGCTCAGTGGTTCTGCCGCCTACCCCACAAGTGCAAGGTCCCGAGTTCCATCCCCATTACCAAAAAAAAAAATTCCAACAGCTAAAGCTTTTGGAATTTTTGTAGATCTAAGTTATTGTCACCTTCATTTCAAATATTTGCCTGTTGGGGTAGAGTGTGTTTATTATCAGTTTATAAATAACCAGACAATGTTAGTGGTTTCGGATATTGGCTGAGAACTTTTCCAAAATGTAATTTTTTTTTTTTTTTTTTGGTACCGGGGATCGAACTTGGGACCTTGCGCTTGTGCGGCAGGCGCCAGAACCACTGAGCTAAATCCCCAGCCCCCGGTTAATGTAATTTTGGATGAAACTGCCCTGCAACTTAAACAAAAGTTAAGTACCTCTTACCTCTAATATCTGCCGTCCATATGTTTTTATTTGCTGGAGTTCAAGGCCCTGAATCTTCTTAGGGTTGCAGTACTTCTTTAGGAATGGGTCCTTTGGTTTTGCCTTTAGGGAAGAACAAAAAACACATAAGGAAGTGGCAGAGGAACCACTGAGCATCCTCGCTTCCTAAACAGGCATGAGAGAAGCCGAGATGGCCAGCCCACTGGACGTGGGGTACGAACAATAGTCTGTGTAGCTGATACAGGTTGACCTGAGTTCTGGTCCCTTCTATGTTCCAGGGATGTGCCCAGTCTTGCCCTTAGCAGTTCCCAAACTTGCACATTGTTAGAGCTCTTCAGTACCGTGTTGTTAACAAATGTAAGACACAAACTTTAAAACTGACTCAAGACAGCAGTTTAAAATGGAGTGGATATAATCACCAAATGTCTCACCGCTCCCTCGGGTGGGGAAAGGAATGCTGTTTAACCAAACTAGGTAGAATCCTTCCAACTAAGAGCAAAATTAAAATAAAATCCTTAAGGTCTTGCTTTTGGAACCTCAGGTATTAAGCATCAGTAACAGGTTCTAAAGGGACTAGAACCTAATGGTCATGAATGTGCACCATAAATACCTTGTAGATCAGATCCTTCAAAGTTCCTTTCTCATTAAACATCCTGATTAGCAATGCAGAGGATTCATTAGCTGTGGCAAAAGTAACCCGGTAAATGTAAGGGTGCTGCCAAGACAAAAAAGAAATCCATGTTGATTCGCCTGAAGATCCAGGTCCTTGTAGGTCCAGAATCTGGTTATGCAGGGTCAGGCACCACTTTGGTGGTTTGCTGCACACCAGTGTGCTGATACTCCCTGAAGAGACAGCATTTTCAAGTTATGAGATGATCAACTCGTTCCTCCTTCAGCAGACATGAACGCGAGGGACAAAAGGAAGTGGCTGGCTGACACGGTGAGCTCCACATGTGAAGGCACCTGCTCTGGTGTGTGCATTCTCAAGGTTCAGGCTAAAGCACAGCGCAAGAGGGGAAAGTCTGAGTTTTGGGAGTAGTGGTTTTGATATTCTGCGTCTGTAAACTGGCAAAGTATACAGCCAAATCTGAGAATGATCAAGCGGGATGAGGACGAAGTGCCTGCTCACAGCTTTTCCTGGTATTCCACACTGCTGTCTGGGTGCCCAGTCAGGCAGCTCCACAGCCAGGAAACAGACAGAAGCAGTATCTGCTGGCGTCACAGCCCTTTCCCAAAGTAGCCGGCACGGATCTTCCTGGCCTTCTACAGGAGTCTGCAGAATGAGGAATCCCAGTGTCCTCCTCTGATGGGGTCAGTGATGTAAAGCAAGTAGGGTGGGAGGAGACAAATTACTTAACACTAAAAGGAGAGTCCTCATATAACCTGGAATGAACTGGCTTCAGACCAGTATTACAACGCCCGTTAGGCTCAAAGGAGTTTCGTGGCCATTTAAACCCATGGGAGCTGAGAATGTAGGGATTTGGGATGCGAAGGGGCCTGGGAAGGTTGGAATGGTACGTGTGTCCAAGAAAACATAATAACTGACCATGAAGTTTCTCCTGGTCATCACATCAGAATGACTGTTGCTGATTTTTTAACAGCTTTATTGAGATATAATTCACATGTCATTACAACTCACCTATTTAAAGTATCCAACTAAATAGTTTTCAGTATATTCAGTTACATGACATCATAATCTGTGACAGAACATTTCACCCCCAAAAGAAATTAAATGAGTGGAATAAAAATCCCCAAGTCCATACCGATACAAATAAAAGGGCTTGGGGGTACAGTTCAGGGGTCCAGCACTTGCCTAGCACACATGAGGCCCTAAGTTCGATCCCCAGCAACCTCTGAAAAAAGGAAGGAGAGAAAGAAGAGAGGAAGGAAGAAGAAATGGCCTTCCTTACGACAGAATGCCAGCTGGGAAATTCAGAGGAATGATGACTGCTCAATCTAGTAAACTCGATGTGGGACATTCATATGGTCTCAAAATATCTCCCCACATATTACTTATTAATTCTACATATTTATCTCAGGAGAACAAGTCTGGGTACAAATGATTAGCTAAAATTGGTTATTACTGCTTTTTTCCTTCCGGTTCTGGAGGAAAGCAGGACCTTTACACTGAGCTGGGTCCCCAGCCCTTTTCAATTTTATTTTGAGACAAGCTCGTGCTATGTTATCCAAGCTTGCCTCAAACCTGCAACCCTCCTGCCTCAGCCTCCCATGAGGCTGGGATCACACACGTGCCACTGCACGCATCACATCTTTCTTTATGTAACAGAAAAAGCTAGGCAGCTAAATGTCTAGGACATTAGTTGAGTAAACAAAGGTACGGCCCACGTTAATTCTATGTAATCAGTAATTATGATGTTATACTATACTTATGGTCAAATAAGGATCATGGTATGCCATTAATGAAAAAATACTTGGTTTTAAAATCATAAATATACATTTTCAAAAAAAATACAAAAATTCTAAGTCAGTAACAACTGAATATTTTGGTTCCTACTTCTAGTTGGCTGGGATGTAATCCTAGGTGAGTTTCATTTTCTTATTTTTACTCCTCTGTGCTTCTGACTTTTACAATTAATGCACTCTTATATGAAGTACGTTTTGTTTGTTTGTTTTTTGGTACCGGGGATCGAACTTGGGTCCTTGCACTTGTGAGGCAGGCAGCGGAACCACTAAGCTAAATCCCCGGCCCTATATGAAGTATGTTTTGTAAGAAGCAGATCTTTTTTTTTTTTTTGGTACTGGGGATCGAACTCAGGACCTTGAGCTTGCACAGCAGGCAGCAAAACCACTGAACTAAATCCCCAGCCCAGAAGCAGATCTTTCTTAAAAGAAACTTAAGAGGCTGGGGATGTAATTCAGAGGTAGAGCACTTGCCTAGCATGACTGAGGCCCTGGGTTCAATCCCCAGCACCATGAAAAAGAAAGAAGGAAAGGGAGAGAGGAAGGAGGAAGGAAAGAAGAAGGAAGAAAGGAGGAAGGGAGAAGAGGGAAGAGAAGAGAACAACAGGGGAGAGGAGGGAGAGCAGCTGGTTTAAAAGTTCGTGCTGTCAATTTGGCCACACAACCAAACTCAAGGTAGCAGCGTTACTCTTGGCCATCCGTCACGCCTCATTAAAAGCTTGGTTTTGCTAGCTTGACAGAACATTCTATCTATCTATTTTCTTTTCATTCGTTTGTTTTCTGAGGCAGAGTCTCACTATGTCAGGCTGGCCTTGAACTCATTATGTAGCCCATGCTAGCCTCCAACTCTCAGTGATCCTCCTGCCTCAGCCTCCCTCAAATCCTGGGATTACAGGCCTGCAGCACCACGCTGGGCTCTCAGAGCATTCTGCCTTTCAAAGCAAACTTGCTGCTGGGTGTGGTAGCACATGTCTATAATTATAGGGCTCTGGGAGGCTCAGGCAGGGGGATGGCCAAGTTCAAGCCTTGCATGGTCAACAACTTAGCAAGATCCTGTCTCAAAACTGTAAAGATAATAAAGAAAAGGCTGGGAATATAGCTCAGTCCAAAGGTCCTGGGTTTAGTTCCCAGTACTGTAAAATGACGATATAAGTAAGCAAATAAAAATTTCAAGATAAAAAACATAGAAACGAACTTGCTAACCGAGGAGACAAGTCAGCAGGATCGTGCTCCATCCGCGAGCGACGCGTTCTAAGACCCTACACCCTCAACACTGACTCCGGTTTCTGGTCGGATGAGTCTGTGCTGTGGGTGAACTGCACATTTTTATTTTCGCTCAGCTGAGTTTTTATTTTTATTTTAGCTCACCAGTACCTATGTGTGGTACCTAATGTTTACATTCCTTGAGTGGGCTTGGTGCATGTCCGCCACACACCTTAATCCCTTTTCGTTGCCTTTCCCGCCCCCTCCCCCCATCTCCCGATCTCCTTCCCCTTTGAGAAAGCTCTGTCTCCTCGCTTCCTATTATCTATTTGTTATTCTGCTCTTTATTTTCACTCTGCTTCGCTCATACGAGAGAAGTCATGTGACAGTGAAGCTTGTGTGCGTGATTTGTTTCACTTAACACCATGGTCCCGAGGTGCATCCATTCTCCTCACATGCCTCAGCTTTATCCCTCTATGGGGCACAGCAGTACCCACTGGTGTGTAAATACTGCATTTCTTTATCCATTCATCTGGTGATGGGCATACTGGCCACTTCCAAGATTTAGCTGTTATGAATTGTCTATTTTAAAATCTAGGGCCGGGGAGGTACCTCAGTGCCACAGTGCCCGCCTGGCAAGCTCGAGGCCCTGAGTTCAATTCTCAGTACCAAAAAAGAAAAAATTTAACTTAAAAATAAATAAAATCTATCATGTGGTTCTTTCCAAAGAAGGCCTCAGATTAGAATTGTGCATTAACATAAATAAGACATGCTCTCAAAAAGGCAACTAGTTAGCCTGAGAGTAATAACATAGACAGGAAAATGGCTACGTTGCATTTCTTTCCCTTCTTTGTTTTATTATTAGTCCATATTAGTTTCATCCTCTTAGGCTGGAAAGAGATCTTTCAATTCCACTGATAAAAACAACCTCACCAAGAACAAGAGGCTCAAAGAAGTGGCTGCTTTCCTTCTCTGATATTTGCCTACAACATAAAGGCTATATTTAAATTACCATGCTTGTGGGTTGTGGAGATGTCATGAATATAATTTTTTTTTGAGACAGGGTCTCACTGTGTAGTTCAAGCTGCCCTTGAACTCACTATATAGCCCATGCTGGCCTCCAACTTGCAGTGATCCTCCTGCCTCAGCCTCCTGAGTGCTGGGACTACAGGAGTGCACCACCACACCCAGCTGTATAATTTTATTTTATTTTAATTTTTTGGTATCGGGAATCGAACTCGGGACCTTGCGGTTGTGAGGTAGGCGCCGGAACCACTGAGCTAAATCCCTGGCCTCTGTAAATATAATTTTAAACACCCCTGATCTATGGTAGTACCCATCCAGTTTTGTCCTGCACTGAAATCCTCTGTACCTCTCCATCCTCCCCAGCCTATTGAGTATTTTAGCTCTTCTGTGCCTGTTCAGCCTCAAGAAAACACTGAACGGCTGTGATCAGCACTGAAGATAATAGTAGGAGACTCATACTTACCAAACAGGAAGGCAGAAGTTTGATTAGACACTGAAAATCTTTATCTGACAAGTATTTGTCAGGGCCAAGGTCAGCCTGGAAACACGAGAGGAAATATCAGGGTACTGCCTTGGTCATCAAAAGAAAAATTCCTTGCAAATCCTTCCCGCTAATAGACCAGATATCTGACTGTAAACCAGATGACACGGCACTAAGTCCTGTTCCTCAAGGCCCTTCTGGAGAGGTGATGTATAAATATACAAATACCAGGACTTGACTGTAATCTCAGGAGCTTCCACTGACAAATGCATCACTGGAACACCCCAAATGGTAAGAGAAATAAAGCAATACCCAAATATTTTCTTTGGAGGTAAATTCCAAAACTGTCAACCCCAAAGAGATTCCAAAGAACTATATTAAGTTGCTTCTCTTTCTTTCCAAATGTTTACTAGCTAATTAAATATATCTATATAACCAAATGAATAACAAAGTGACTTAAAATGATTGTCCTTTGATATAGGACTGAAGAAACCCTGACATTATCAGTGAAGTCTACAGTTTTATAATCCTCTCATCAGATATCTAAATTTCCTGAAATAAAACGGAAGCCAAGAATTAGCTTACCCAGCTTAACACCAGCCGTTCCTTTGGTTGATTTTTAATCTTCATCAAGAAGTATTTCTTCCTAATCCTCCAGCCTGCCATAAAAGCAGAAATGAGTTTGAAGCTCCATAATTTTTGCCACAAATGATTTAAGTTTCACTGATTAAATAATCAAAATTAAGTTTGGACATGTTACCCACAGCCATGTAAGCATTTGCACTCGTAAAACAAGCATTTGGTGATATTCACAGGGTAAAGGCTGTACTGAAAAACAACAAACAAAGAAGTTGCTCTCTTCTTGGAAATAGTAGGAAAACAGTACTGCAGCTGAGATTCAATGAAAAAGACAGATGAAGAATAAATGGTGGTTCACAAAGTTACCATCCAAATCCCTTTGATGGGGCTTTAACCAAGATTAAGCATTAAAAGTTAAGGTCTGTATCCTCAAGCAGTAGGGAGGCAAAAAGGACAAAAAATAACCAGATCAGGAGCTTTCTTGGGATACGAATCTGAATGCATCATTAAGAATCCAGTTCTGCGGTCTGTCTTCCTAACAGAACAAGCACGCCAGTTTCTCACCTATGTCTTTCAATGGTTCTACCACTTCCCACTTTGGTTCTGAACGGAAGAACATGGAAACCTGTTGTAAGGCAATTTCTGCAAAGATATTTTAGAAACTCATTAGTCAAACTTCCTGTGAAAGAGTCAAATGCTTCAGAATTATTTGCAAATTAAATCCTTATAGTTGATGACCTCCTTTAAATATTTAATTACAAAAAAATAATAAAATGAAAGAAAATTAAAAACCATGTGGAATTTTAGACTGGACCTTGGACGAGACAAAGCATAAAACTGATGAAATCCGAATAAGGCCTGTATTAGATTTACCGATGTTAATTTATCAGTTTTGATAAATATAGCATAGTTATATTATAGGCAGCTATGTTAGACAGATATTAATAGACAGAGAAGGATCAGAGCCTCAAGGAAGTCAGCATGAAAAATACAGATATCAGAATTGTGGCTGGAGGCAAATACGAAGAGAGCCAGGCCTCAGGATGCAGAAGCAGTAGCCAGGCCTGTGAGGCTCCCTAGAGATAAACAGCAGCTTGAGATTGCACCAGATTAGCATCACCTGGTCCAGTGGGCGCAGCTAGGCACCAGCCGCATGGCTGGGTGACCAGAACATCCAGGCCCCTACTCCTCTTTCTTCCCAAAAGTGTTTTTGTTCTTTCCATATACCCTGGCTGCATGACTTGCTTCCCCATTGGATCAATATTAGCTAAGCAGCTATATTTGTAATCTTTGAGGTTAATTGTAGTCTGACCCATGTTGTGATTTTGCTGTATAAATTACCCGTCAAGGGGGCTCGGTGGCCACCCACTCGGGACCCCGCCCAGAAATCCAGGAGCTAATCTTCTTCCCCTTATTTCCAGTAAAACTCTCCTAACTCCCTTGGTTCGTGACTTCGTTCCTTGATGTTGTGAGATGACAAACTGCGCATTTGACATCCAACCGGTCAGAGTTATATTTTACCACTTGCAGAAGATGCTAACACTGGTGAAACTGGGTGGAAGGGAACACATGGAAACACTCCACTATCATTGTAACTTCTCTGTAAAATTATTAGAAAATTAAATTTATTTTAAAAATCAAAAATACAATTATTAATGATAGGAAAATAGTTTTTTAAATTGGAAAAATCTAAAATATGTAAAGTAGTGGACCTAAAACAAGAATTCAATATGTGCACCAGACCACAATCCAAGCCCAGGATTCAAAATATGCTCTAAGGTCAGACTGGAACACAGTCTTAATGTTGTTCCAAGTGATATTTATCCCATCTTCATTCCTCATGAAATTATAGCTTTCACTAACAAAGAAATGATTATCCTTAAATGTGTACTGGAAATAAAAGCCAGTGTTTTAGAAAAACATCCACGCTCAGCAACAACACGGTTCTATTGTGGGAAGTCACTGACTGTCTATTTATTGGAAACAAATCCATGCTTTTTTTCAGTGTTCATTTATCATGTGAATGCTTCCCCTTTTAAGGATGACAATGAGAAGAGGAAGTTCTTTAAGGTTCATTGTATTAAGAAACTATCAGAATAACTATGCTTTTTTGCATTTCCTGAGAAAAGCAGATCTGTAAGTTGCCATTTCCTTTCAAGGCAGTGAGTACGTGAAGCCACCGCAGAGCCTGAAAGCAAAGGGCAGCCTTCCCAGGGACTGTGGAATTTCACCTCTGCCTAACACGAATTGCGTTGCAGGGAGGCCAGCAGGCAGGCGAGGGATTCTCCAGAAATGTTCTCCCTAAATCAAACTGACCTCTGGGATTAGCATGCTGAGAGTGCGACAAACAGCATCATTTTGGTATATTTTGTAGCACCTTTTGCATTAAGGGATTTGAGGAAGAATACCATTTACTAGACTCAGTATGTGACTTGTCAGTGCTATCTGCTCAGAAGGAAACAAGTGATGCCAAAATATAAAATAGGCTCCATTTACATTTACTGTAATTCCCCTAGGATGCAACAAACCCTTTGGAAGGCTGGCATACATTTTTATTAACAACTCTGAGAACTCTGCACCTACCCTATGATAATGTTGATATCAAGCACTTCTGAAATAACTTGAAAGTAATCTTGAAATTATTTTAAGTGAAAATTATTCATATCAACTTTGAGAAGGATTGTGAAAAATAATTTTCTAATGCAGTACAATGTCATTTCAAGAGACTGTAAAAGACAGTTATTTAAAATGAACAGTGACTTGGGCCAGGATTTAGCTCAGTGGTTTCTCCACTTCTTGCCTGTTGTGCAAGTGCAAGGACCCAAGTTCGATCCCCAGTACCAAAAAAAAAAGAACAATGACTCATAATTCCCTATAAAATCATTAATCAGCAATATTTATTTTATACCTTTATGTGCCATACATTGTTTTAAGAATGGGGAAATATATCAGTCAACAAATGGAACATGCTAAAGTTTTACTAATAAACTGAAGACTAGGAAATAGATTCTTTTTCTTTTTTTGCCTTAGAAGTCAGAGAACTGGGGATATAACATTTTCTTTCCACTGATCTGTGACTTACTGTCAAATAAATCGCATGCCTACCATGTTCCCAAGGTTAATGTCCTCCCTCCCAGGCTCAGTCAACACATTTTGTATGATTTTTTTTTTTCTTTTGTACCAGGGATCAAACTCAAGTCCTTTCGCTTGCAATGCAGGTGGTAGAACCACTGAGCTAAATCTAAATCCCCAGCCAGTCAACACATTTTGATCCTAAACATCTACTCCTTTGCTCAGAAGCCCTTACTGGCCCCCTACTTTCTTACCAAATCAACAGCGAGCTGCGACTGCTAAACCTAGCGTCTGACCTACCTCTGGGTCCGCCTGTCTTTGTGCCTTTGTTTCCCACAGTGTGCTGCCCACTCTGCATGCTGAGGTTTGCCTCCCGTGGATTCCTGACGGTAGCTTTCCTCCTCGTCACCGGCATTTTCCACTGGGCCAACCTCACTATTTCACTCCCCTTCAGGCTAACTTCCACGCACACCTCCCCCTTCCTTGCCTGTCTCCTCTCTGGAGGAAGCTCTCCTCCATCCCCAGGCCTGGAGCATCTGCACCTCCCAATCCTTACCCCACTCGCCCTTGCCAAGGGGCTGTCTCGTCTTTACGGCCACAGGCTTCACTGGTCACCTCCTTGGATAAGTGCCCTGGGATGGCAGCACTGTGTGGGAGGGGCTGTCCCTTTCTACCTGAGGCGTACACAGCACCGGGCATAGAGTAAGTACTTAGTAAATATTTCATACGGAAAGAACCAAAGGCTCAACCCGTGGTCATGAGAGCATGAAACCCATGAAGAGGAAGGCCTGTGGCCTCTATTTCTGTCTTAGCAGCGGACACAGATGGGGGGTCTTCCCTCCCACGAAGGGTTGTGGAAAGAGGCACCAGGTGCTCCCACCATGCTGCCTTGAGCTCTTGGCTGCCACCTCTCGAAAGCACCCTGCTTTTGTTTGGAATTTGATCTCCCACCCCTAGACCCTCCCTCCCTTTGTCCTACTATTTAAGGCATTTCTGCGCTCTTAGGACTGGAGGAGAACTTTAACATCCCCGGGTCCATTCTCCCCTGCTCAACCTCTAGCTCTGTAGGTCAGGATCCTGGGGACACAGAGGGAAATGCTACTAGTGACAAAGTTGGAAACAGGATCCAGGTCTCCTGATCTCCGGCTTGGTCCAGTGACTTTTGTGTAGATATTAAAACCCCCTTTACTCTGAGGGGACATACAAGTCTGAGGTGGGAAGATGGCTGCAGGGCACTGAGGCTTTTAAATGACAGAAGTGGCTTGTTAGTAAGATGAAGGTTTGTGTGTTTTTCAACACACTCCTCAGGACTGTGAGACAACTGTCTTCCCTATACACAAGCACCTGACAACTCCCCACAAAGGACCAAGGGCCCTACATTTACCTTCTGTGGATTTGGTCATCTGGAAAAAACCAGGAAAAGAATAAAAGGCCCAGCAACCCCGGGCTGAGTCTGGCGGACAGAAGGCAGATGCTGATGTCCTGAGTGCTCCCAGGTACCCCACCCCTGGGACCCAGGTGCAGCACAGTCCCCTCTAACAAGGCGCCCCCGACCCCAGTCAGACCAGTAAGCAGGAAAGTGACTGTGTGGAGCTTGGCTACCGCACAAACACAGAACTCAAATCCCACTGAAGCAAAGCTGGGTGGTGACCACAGGCCATTTGGAAACTGAGAAGTAGACAATGCCCTCTTTCAAAGAAAGAAGTGGCCCTGCTTAGAGAAGGGCCCCACTCAGGAAGCAGGGCCTCTACTGTGCATTTCAGGAATGGATCAGTCAAGCTGGCACGGGGGCGGGGTGGGGGGCGCCTGACAACAGCTGTTGAGTCAGCTAAAAGGCAAGGCAAGTTTTAGTGTTCCACTCAAAGGAGGAAACAGACCAGCATCTTTCTGAGAACAGTATCGTCACTTGCTGTTTCATTTAGGACTCTGCCCTCTAAACAGAGGCTGGGCTCCTGAGCTCTTGGGTTTTGGTAGGAGTTCCTCGTGGCCTTTTTATTACCCTGCCCACATTAACTGTGGGCTCCTGATCATCTTAGGTGGTGCGGTTGAGGGGAAGATCAGGACGATCCAGCGTGTGGAGGAGGTACAGTAGGAGGAGAATCAGGGACCAGACAGCCTTCCAGAGGCCAGATAGCATTTTAACCTAAAAAAATCTCAGGGGCCGGGGATTTAGCTCAGTGGTTTCACCGCCTGCTGTGCAGGCACAAGGACCCAAGTTCAATCTCCAGTACCAAAAAAAAAAAATCTCAGACCAGATATCAGTCACACACATGCAAAAGGCTGAGTAAGGCCCTCCCTCTCTGGGGATCTTGGTTTCCATATCCCTAAAAGGAAAAGGAGGCTGGGTGTGATGGTGCATGCTTGTACTCCCAGCACTCAGAAGGCTGAGGCAGGAGGATTGCCATGGGTTCAAGGTCACCTTGGGCAACACAGTGAGTTCAAGGCCAGCCTGAATTACATAGCCTGACCCTGTCACACACACAAAAAACCCCAAAGACACACACACACACACACAAACACACACACACACATACACACGGAAAAGAGGGGAAATCTTGATAAAACAGCTCCAAGATCCCTCCTAGCACTGACCCATGTGGTTCAATGTACTCCTCGAACAACTGCTCCAAGTACATCTGCTCCAAGCCTGGGTCCCCAGCTCTCAGCCCTGCCTCTGGCACACGGTGTGGAAGAGAGCTGATGTCTGATGAGCAAATGGCATCACTTCATGTGCAAGGCACTCTGATGCTGGCCTTCAGAACACCAGCAGACACTCCCAGGAAAGAATACAGACGTGAGTAGCTCTGAGGTGGGGCTGATCTGATAACTCCACCCAGATGACTGGCTGACAATTTGGGGGAACAATCGAGGTGAAGCATGGAGAAATGGAAGTCACAAAAGATCCCACTCTAACTGGAGCTGACTGGAGAGCCCCATTGCTAAGTGTGATTGGGTCTTCTCTCTAGGTGAACCAAAAAACAAGTTGGGGAAGAATGGAATCCTCTTAACTACTTGATGCTTAATCTTGTAACTTACAGTAAAAGTGAGGTGAAATAAGCTTTCTTTCTCTCGGCTACGTTCTGAAAAGGAACTTCTCTTAGCCCTACACAGCACCTAAACTAGAGGACAGCAAGTACACAGAGGCAGCTTTTCACACTTTAATGTGGATGCAAATCAGATCCCGATTCAGCAAGCCTGGGATGAGGCTGGAATTCTGTACTTTCAACAAGCTCTCATGCCGCCAATGTCAGAGAATGACACCGTAAGCAGCAGGCCTTTCAAACTTGATGGCATAATGGAGCCACAAGGGAAGCTTTACACATCACAAGCCCCACCTGCAGAGATTCTGATTTAATTGGCACGCATGCAGCCTGGGCATCAGGATTTTTTTAAAGCTTCCCAGGTGATTCTACTATGCAGAAAAGCTTAGTGTCAAAACAAGTAGGTCTCTATTCCTCCATCCCTGAAACAAAAATAAAGTGCCTCCTTCTAATTACAACAAAGACAATGGTTTTTATTTGTTCAAACCCTGGGCCTTGCACATGCCAAGCATGTGCTCTGCCACTGAGCTACATCCCCAGCCCAAAAGCAATGTTTGGAAAACCCAGTTATCTGATAAAATCTCTTCTCTTGCTCACTGGCCTAGCATGCATGAGTTCTTGGGTTTGATCTCGAGCACTGAACAAAACAACAAAACACAAAAAAACTATTCACTTAACAAAGAAATTAATAATGCCCAAGTTCCACTTAGTATATGTGCTGCCGAAGCGAGAACCCAAGTTCCACTTAGAAAAACCCTAAGAATCGTTGGACTTTAACCAATCGCTTGAATTCTGTTCATTGGTTCAGATCTACAAAGGTTTCTATTGGTTTCTTCAAGGCAATACCAGACAATGTGTTAAATATTTAGTTCTTCCTCCTGCTGAGAGCAGGCTTAGCCTGTTGATGCTGGTGTTGTGTGTAATCAGTATTGGAAGAGAAGCCCTTTCCACCAGAGACCCCTGGGGGCTCTCTGATAAGCAAAGGAGGTGGCAGAGAGCCAACCTCTGTGCTTTGCACTGCAAGGTCCCTAGGGAGCAAATGGGGAGAAGCAGCAATAAATCCCTGGAAAAACCACACACTGTATATTGTAAATGTAAAAATTGAGTCAAATTGAAATTACTGTATACATGACTGTGGATTATATGCTCTCTGTACTGTGGATTATATGCTCTCTGTTCTGTCAGAAAAAGATAAAGACAAGGCTATACCTACAAAAATATAACAGTTTCTTTCATATTTTTTCTTTTTCTTTTTTTTTTTTGGTACCAGGGATCAAACTGGGGACCTTGCGCTTGTGAAGCAGGTGCTGGAACCATTGAGCTAAATTCCTGGCCTACTTTCGTATTTTTCTGTGCATATATTAAAACATTTTGCAAATTAAGTATGTTCTTATAAATCTACAGAAAATTACAATTAAGTAAGTCTTTGTAAACACATAATAACCTATTACAAATGTGTACACTTCCCATTTGGAAGCAGTCTCTCCCACATACATTATCTCCTGCTAAGAACAGTGCCCCATGTGACCAGAGCTCATGGACACTTTTGCTTACCAGTGTAGTTTGCAGAATAGTTGTTTGGATCTAGAAACTTCTTAACCAGCTCACAATTAGACAGGATATGATTTGTGGTTATAACGTTGAGATAGTTCTGAAGACCTTTCTGCCTCTCAGCTATGAATTCACGATCCATGTTTCCAATCAATTTTTTGGGAGGAAGAGGTAGACTTAGGCCTGCAATCTTATAGATATATAAAAAAAAAAAAGATAGTATACTCATGTCATCCACAAACAAGATCCAACACCAGAATCATCATAGTTCATTAAATTTAAGACAATAGATCTTTCATACATATAAATTTTGGTGATATTATAAAAATGTGCATTAAGATGCTACATGAAGAAGTTACTTTACTTTTGTTGTTGTTTTCTGAGATAGGCTCTTGCTATGTAGTCCAGGCTGGCCTCAAATGCGCAGGGATCCTCCTACCTCAGCCTCCGGAGTGCTGTGATTTACATGTGTGTACCACCACGCCCACCACATAGTGACTTTAAAACTTCAAATTGTTGGTCCAGGATTTAGCTCAGTGGCACCGCGCCTGCCTTGCAAGGGCAAGGTCCTGAGTTCGATCCCAGGTACAAAAGAACCCCAAATGTTAAAAAATTTTCTCCAAATTTACATGGGAACATAACATCAAGGGCAAAATTTCTTTTTAAAAAACTGTCGTTGGGCCGGGGATTTACCTCAGTGGTTCCAGCGCCTGCCTCGCAAGCGCAAGGTCCCGAGTTCGTTCCCTGGTACCAAAAAAACCCCCTGTCATTGGCAGTCCTATGACAGCTCCCTCCCAGAACCCCTGCCACAAGGCGACATATCCACTCTCCACTCCCCTGAGACAGCCACATTTGATTTTTTTCAATTCTTTCAGCTGATGTTTTGGCACTGGGGATCAGGCTGCTGCATCACAATTTTTCATTTTTAGGCATTATCTTTAAGTTTCCTACTATGCAAGATAAGGATTGAGTTCTCTTTCACAATTCCAATCTTACCCCGCACAATCCTATCCACATTTTCCCAGCAGTGTTATAATTTTAGTTCGTGCATTATCATGTTTATATTAGGTAAATGACACTCCTAATAGTTATATTCAGAATAATGGCTGAAGCTCTTGGAGGTAAATTGAGACCTCCAAGAGACAATGTGGTTCCCTTAGAGATGTGCCTTCCAATCCGTGCTTCACCCGAGTTCTCACTCACTGGGTCCTCAGCTCACAATACTTTGCTGTGCCTTTCTCCTCTGCCATTCTATTTGTCTCTGACAGGTGTGTGTGTGCAGTCAATTTACTATCATGCAGAGCGATTTGGGGAGGAAGGAGAAGTAAATGCAGGTGTTCAATCCACTATCACTTTCCAGATCACTTAAAACTTTGAGTCTATATTTTAAACTTAAAGCATCAGATTAGCATTTTAATTTAGCAAAAAAATGACTTTCAAAGAGTGGTGCTCTTCAACCCTTGTGCTTTTATTAGAGCAGTCCTAGTGGCACGTGTACTGACTAAAGATAAGGACATCTTGAATTCAGAGAAGGAGGTAATCTAAACCATGCGTGGGCAAACCTTGTGTAGACTGCTCCACTCTGGGGTTTTTGAACAACAATAATGCAGCCCAACAGTTCGTAATAGTGAAAGCTTGGAAACAGCCCAAGTGCCCATCAACTGGAGACTGGATAAAGAAGATGCGGTTTTTTAAATAAAATGGAGTACTACGCAGCCATAACGAATGAGAAACTACAGACATTTATAGGTAAACGGATGCACATTGAGGCCATACTCTTTTTTTTTTTTTTTTTGGTACTGGGGATAGAACTCGGGTCCTTGTGCTTGCGAGGCAGGAAGCAGAACCACTGAGCTAAATGCCCGGCCCTGAGGCCATACTCTTAAGTGAAACAAATAAGACACACATGTGTAAATATCGAATAGTTTCTCTAGTGTGAGAAACTGAAAGTTTAAATAAGGATTAAAATGATTAAAATGAATAATTGATAATTGGAAATAGGAAGAAAAGCTCCAAAGGGGTAGGGGAAGTGGGAGGGGAAGGGGAAAGGAAAGAAGGGAAAGGAAAAATTATGAGAAAATAAAATAAAATGGAAATGAAGTCTATGTAAATGGGGAAGGGTGGAAGGGGTGAAGGGTGCACAGGTAATGGGGAAAAAATAAGAACCAAGATATAGCATGTGCAGGTACAAATACCCAATGATAAATGTAAATGTATTGTATACCTAAAATGTACCAATAAAAGAATTTAAGCAAAAAACCCCCCAAAACAATAATGCAGCCCAGTGAAGACCTTGAAGTTGATCCTGGACAAGAGGAAAAGGCTGATTGATAATTCTAAATTGCCTATTTCTCTAACATACTTGTAAAAATATGTCAGAATATAATTATACTGAATATTCTATCCTGGCACAATTTATTATTAGATAAGATTCTTAAATTTCAGGTTACTTTCTTTGTTCATACAATGAGGATTTACCTAATTGCAGTTCCTTTATTAGCTAAATAAAATGCTATGGAAAAGTATATTACTTAGCTATGACACATACAAACCAATGTCTGTGTTTTATTTTTACTCAGGGGCATAAAATATTAAATCAAGGGTAATATATAACCTAAAACACAACCCTTTTAAAACTATTTTTGTTTGTTGGTTTTGGTACCAGGGATTGAACTCGGGACCTTGCGCTTGCGAGGCAGGCGGCGGAACCACTGAGCTAAATCCCCAGCCCTTAAAACTATTTTATGAAACTGCAGAATAAAATCATGTGAGCGCATGCCCAGAGATAAGCCTCCACAGACATAGAAAGTACCTAAAGGACTCACACCACTGCTCAATGATTGCTACCTCTGGGAACAAGTTGTACTTTTTATTTTTTTACTAGGAAACATTTACAATGCTCATTTACTATTTTTTCAATTAAAAATGAAAGAAAAGGGCCAGGGATTTAGCTCAGTGGTTCCGGCGCCTGCCTTGCAAGCACAAGGTCCTGAAGTTTGATCCCCAGTACCAAAAAACAAAAAAAGAAAGAAAGAAAATCCCTTTTGCTTATCAAATTGATTATATATACAAGGGTGAAAAAAAACTACTGTTAACCCATAATCAAGACACTCTCTGGGCTCCCCCACAGCAGCACCACCTGAATCCCACACCACCCAGAATGCAGGCACGTCTGATGTCGCTGGATTCAAACCCCAATATTTTGGCTATTTTCTATTTGAGGTGGGGACACCAAGAATGAATTTGATAAAATATCTCCTCCAAGCTTCAGTCAATCTATTTTTCCAAGCTTCATTTCACTCTAGGAAAATGTACTGATCAAACATCCCACCCCTTCTTCCAAATCATCAAAGAATTCTTTTTGCTTACTGTTGGGAGCAATGCTACATAATTCTAGGGAAAAATCATTTGAGTAGGCCTAGTTCTCCTGCCTACAGACCAGCAATAACACTCCAAGACATACTTCCATTTCGGCCTCAGGTCACAAGGGAGATCTCAATGATCCCATGATGCTGTAATCCTCCAGGACAAGACCACACCTGTGGGAGACGCCCTGGGAGGAACCAAATCTTCATCTGTGTAGTTCCTGGGAGGAACTAAATCTTCATCTGCATAGTTCCTCATTGTTCTTAGATTTCCGCCGCCCCCACCCAGTCTTTTGTTACACCTTGTTCACCCCAATATGATACTGAAATCTACATCATTCATTTGTTACATTTGTTTCTTTGGATGTACTGAATAAAAGGTGCTGCAAGCTAGGGGTCTTTGTCTTTGCTGCCCAGAGCAGCACTGATCAGACCCAAAGCTCAGCTTCTTCTCAGTCTCATTTGTCTACCTTTCCTGTAATTCGCCGTGTGCTGCCGTGGCTCACAGGAGACCAGGACTCACTGCAGAGGTTCTGGTAACGTCCCCTTCCCCTGTTCCCTACAGCTTACGCTTTTTTTTTTTTGGTACCAGGGATCGAACTCGGGTCCTTACACTTGCGAGGCACGTGGCAGAATCACTGAGCTAAATCCCTGGGCTGCTCACAGCATTTTTATACCACAGTGTCCCTGCCACATCAGACAGGCTGGAACTGAAGATCTCACAATAAATACTGCTTAAAGTACAAAACTATCTAATGCATGTTGTTTTAATTTTTTTTTTCTTTTGAGACAGGGTCTCTATGTAGTTCAGGCTGGCCTTGAGCTCATTAGATAGCCCAGCCTGGCCTCAAACTCAAGCAATCCTCCTGCCTTGGCTTCCTGAGGGCTGGTATACAGGCATGCACTACCATGCCCAGCTTATGTGTGTTGTTTTCAAATCTTCTTTTTAAAAAAGATTAGCAATCAAGAGACATTTATTTTCTATCAGCTTTCTCCTATGATTTCAAAAATGCTTACCAGTTGCAGAATACAAAATTTGGAACTCCAGTGACTGATTAGAAGGGAGGGGCGATGCAGTACTAGGACACAGATTGTCACTAAGCCGCTGATTCCCTAGACACCCTACAATGAGAACCTTTCCGGAGTTCCTTTGAGAAGGAAAAGAGAACAAGACAGCCAGTACAGAAGTCCCCCAAATTCCATTTCCTATCAACTACAGGTGGCAATGCAAAAGATGATCCCCAAGTAGGCTCCAGAGCCCTAATTTGACGTATGCTAGCCAAGCAGAAGCCCCTACATTACATGACAAACTATATCACAGTTTCACAAACACTAGCTTTCCTCTGGAGGAGAGACTTTCAGACATAAACTCTTTATCTCTCTTTACTCACTTCCATCATTAGATCTTAATGTTCTGCAATTCACCTTCAATTATATTTCAGGCTGCATTCTAGTGAGCTCTAAGCTCTCGACAGGCCTTTAATTTGTTCCAATTTCCTCCCTAAAGTCAACAATGGTAGTAAAATTGGAATCACAAGTATTCATGTTATGTGAGACCTCAGAAGTCACCTAGTGAACCCCTCATTTCAGATGGAGAAAGTGAAGCCCAAGAGGAGAAGTGACAGACTCAAGGTCTCAACGTCAGTAAAGGGCAGGGCATGGCTTCCTTCCCAAGTGCCAGGCGGCAGAGTTCAGGTTTCTTTGCTCTGCCCAGTTCCCAATATTTCAACCAATTGCTCCTTTCTTTTTCTTTGTTATAAACTCTCTGCTTAGATAGCTGCTGTCTCGATGTTGTATTTGTTTAAAATAAGGTGGTGATTTTTCTTTGTTGTTACCACAAAATATTCTTACTGTAAAATTTTTGGAAAATAGAGGCTTTTTCTATTTTTCTGCTTATATAGCTTACATGAACATACTTGTGCAAAATTTGGAAAGTAGAGAGGATATAAAGAACCAGAAAAAAACATAACACATAATCCCACCACTGGGGATCACTATTGTTGGCATTCTAGTATATTTTTTTCCAATTCTAAATGTTTCAATAATTCTATTACAAGGCACATATAACTTCACATTCTGCTTTCTTTTGTTTTAGGTACCGGGGATCAAACTCAGGACCTTGTGCTTGCGAGGCAGGCAGAGGCACCACAGAGCTACATCCCCAGCCCTACATTCTGCTTTCTTATTTTGACTTAGGTATGTTCCTACTGGATTAAGACACCACTCCATATGTGTATTATATTTCTCATTTTCAACAGGAACTATTTATCTGTCAAGAGAGTAACTGGACACTGAAAATCATGTCACGGTTCATTCTGTGCTTTTGGAGTCTATTTCATCTGTTTTTTGGGAAGTTGTTTTGAAACTATCTTGTGGCCAAAAAGCTGTATGTACTTTCTCTTCTGTTTGTTCACTTGGATCCAGAAAAATCTCCCACTGAAGTATATCTGCCTGTTCTGTCCCATACAAGCCAATGTCAATACATGTGACTATCTGTATTTGAAATAAAATGCACATTGAAAAAGCTCATTTTAAAAGGAAAAATTATACTAAAACAAAATAAAATTCTATTCTATCAAAAAGGGCCATAAGTGAATAGTCATGGAGATTTAGGCTTACATTCCCAAACTAAGAGCAAACGGGAGATAAAACCCTCTTTCTCACCACCATTTTGAAGACACCAGGTCTACGCAATCTTGACTTCACACGGGTCTTATTCAGAGGTGGCAAAAAGACATTGTACAAAGATCACGCCCATGCTTTAATGCCCTGCAAACGTTTGTTTGCACATAAAGGTGGAAACATACAGTAGGCCCAGGGCTAACTCTCCAAATGCTCACAGCACTGTGGGCCACCACTGCCTAGGAGGATCATTCCTGGAAAATTTGCTCCAGGAACAAACTATATATATATCAGTGCCTTATCTCCAAAGTCATCACAGCCCTAGCTTTTGTCCAAGTGCACAGAATGTGCAATTAAAACCCATAAATGAAACAAACCCACAAGTGAGAAGATCTGATCTCTCCCAGTACTCGATCTGGAGATTTAAACTGGACATACTAAAATTAAAATGATTAAAGACAATGTGTCAAATGCATGACCATGTGGCAATTACATAAAAGTCTGTAGATACTCAGGCAAATAATTTCAGGAGGAAAATAAGGCACTCATGGTTTCAACAGTATTATAAATAAAGTTTGGGCTTTACAAATGCTATTTTCTGAAGTCTGATCAATAAAATGTGGTCTTTTGAAGAAAAGGAAGCACTATGCTTCCTCCCAGCCAGCAGTCCTCTTAACCTTTGTGGGCTGCACCAGGGGTCACTTAGAACACATGGTGGTGGCTAGCAGGAGCAGTCCTTTACCTCGCGGCTGAGCTAGTCATATAGCAAGCTTCTGGCTCAGACTGTCAAATTTTGGATATGCCACAGGCCCAGTGGTCTTCAGTAAATCCATGCTACTTGAACAATCTGCCCAGAGAGACATCATTGCTATTACCAGTGCTTCCTGTGATGTAGCACCCCCAAAACCAGACTCTTCGACCATTACCAGCACTGGCTGTTTCCAGACAGACTGCAGCTCATCTTTCTTTCCATTAGAGCCACTGAGTTATAACACTTAAATCACGGGAATTGTAAAATATGCATTTTAGAGAAATATCCGTCCTAATCTGTGAAACACAGATGATATATAAGTACCTATGACTGATGTAAAACTACAATTTTGCACTCAGGTGCCAGGTGACTGTTCATTATAAATCACATGTTTATTCTCAAACATCTGGGAGGTTTTTTTCGTTTTTTTGAGAGAGGGTCTCATTATATAGTTGAGGCTGGTCTTGAACTTGCAGAGATCCTGTCTCTGCCTCCCAAGGCCAAATGTTTGTTTCTGGAGCCATACATCATCTGTTTAAATCATGAATTAATCTCCTTTACCAAGGAAATTGTTAAATTCTTATTCCTGATACTGCCATTTGCCATAGCTTGGATCTTGAACGTCCCCCAAAGGCCCATGTGTTAGAGCTTTGATCCCTAGAGTGGTAGAACCTTGAGTGGCCTAGTAGGGGGTCTTTGGGCTGCCTAGTAGGTCTTTAGGTCATTTTGGACATCCCTTAGGAAGGCAGGTGGGACATCTCCTTCCTGATCACTCTTTCTTTTGTTTCCTGGTCATACTGTTCCACCATGCATTCCCACCATGATGTGCTCCCCCACCACTGGCCAGAGCAATAGGACCAACTGATCCTGGACTGAATCCCCAAAACTGTGAGCCAAAATACATCTCTCCTCTCTATATGTTGACTATCTCAGGTATTTGCTTATAGTGATGGAAAACTAACAATGTTTCCAAACAATTCAAAGATAACTCTAAGCAATCAGTATGCATTGATGGAGTTTGCAAACATTTACCTGTAAGCTGTTGTTCAGTAAATCAAAGTCACTGTATCTTCTAACGATCTGTAAGAGACGGGACAGTGCTGTTTTGATTCAGAAAGGACATCCTTTTCCATTTCCTTTAACATTTTCTGCCACACTAGAGCTGTGGCACATGTGCTAAGGGAGATATGGGCTTCTGGTACTTACCTTGTTTAACCTCTCAGATCCAGAAAACACCCCTAGTCATGCCCCAGAGTTGGCTGGGCCACGCAAAACTGGTTAATGCCAGACAAACTCAAAAGACACCAACAGTTAAGTGAAAATACTTGTTTTCAGGGCAAATAGTCTTTCAAATAACTTTCTTATTAACCAGGTTCACGGAGAGATGAATTAATAATTTACCAAAAAAACAAAAAACGAAAGTTTAACTGAGCTGGAATCCAAGTAAAAGAAGTGGGCAGTTCTGAGGCCATTTCATCCTTGCTGTGGCTAAAACTTTTACCAGGTGAGGCCCTGGAGGCTGGACTGCATCCACAGGTAAGGCTGCCCTAACTCACCTTAATTTCTCAGGCTCCTCTCTTCGTAGACAGTCTATTCTCCACCGCCTACGTTGTTCTTTGTGTTATTGATACCACTGATTAGCCCACAACCAAAGTCTAGTAGCTCTGGATAAAGACATTATTCCACTTTTGAATAGTTTAACATCAGCATTTTTCCTGACTGATTGACCTGATTGTACTGGGGATTAAACCCAAGGCCTTCACACTGAGCTATATCTCTAGTCCTTTTTAAATTTTTTTATTTTGCGACAAAGTGTCACTAAGTTGCCCAGGTGGGGCTCAAACTTGTGATCCTTCTTCCTTGGCCTCCCAGAGTGCTAGGATTACAGGCAAGTACCACCACGCCAATCAGCCTGACTTCAGCTTTTATGAGCATTTCTCAAACTTTAATGTGTCAAACAATTGCCAAGGAGTTTACCTAGAACCTCACCCACAGAGAATCTAACTGAGTAGGTCTGGGGGCAGCTGCAAGAGTACATTTTTGTTGAGTACCCAGAAGTCTCTAATGCAGTGGAACTAGAAAACTGCAGCAAGGCTTGATTCTTTTAGTAGGACACTTGCTCTTGGTCCTGTTTGTCAAATAAATATCAGAAGGTTAAATAAAAGACCTGCCCTCAATAAAGAATAAAAGATAATAAGGTGGCTAGCCACAGAGAATAGGCAAGTTCCAACCCTGTTCTGCCAATGACCTAAGGGTGACCTCAGACAAGTTACACCTCAAATGTAAAATAAGGATACTAGTACTATATACGATTGGTTTAGAGTGAAATAATGTACTTGTACAGTGCTGAATACTTCATAAATGCTCAATAGATGTAAAATGTAATAATTATTCAAACAAAAAGCAGCTTAAAATTCCAGGCAATGAGAAGACCAAGTATGGACCACTGTGGTCAGAACGGCTTAAAGTGGGGGACAAAGCTTTAGCTGGGCTGTGAAGTACAAGGTAGGATTTTTGGAAGGAGGTGGGATGGTAAATATAATTACTAAAACAAGAGACTTCCGAGAAGATGGTTGAGTAGTAAACAGCAGAGAAACAGCCTCTCTGAAATTCGGTATCCAGACACTGCAATATAAGAACATGAGGAAGAAAAGGTCCTTGGGACCCAACAAGGATCTGAAGCAAGAACTGAAAGCCATGGGGAGAGTGAAGAGAGAGACCTCAATGCAGAGGGCGGTGGTGGCAAGCAGCGCTTTCTCCTTGAGCCCTGACTACTGCACAGGAGGGGCTCAATCTGCAGACACATGGTGACTACTGGTGACCCCAGAGGCCATGGAGGAATGAACCAGTGGAATGGTGTAGTGGATGCTGCGGATTGCAGTGGTTGGTGAGTTATTTGGACTCAGATGTCCCCTAGGAGAGGGTGGTTGGCCGGTCATCGTCTTAGAGCGGGGCAAACTGAGCTCGGAACTCAGAGCAGCTGCAGGTTGGCTCCAGTGGCAGGGTGAGGCAGAACTAAGTTGGCAGGAGGTCAAGGAGCTGAGTTCAAGTGGGCAAGAGCAACATGGAGTGTTGCAGACTGAACAAATCAGGTTCCAGCCTCACAGCCAGAAACCAGCCTAAAATTCAGTGGAACTAAAGGTGTAAGTGTGCTGGGATTATTCACCACCCTGGCGTAAATCTATACTGGCTGCTGGGATTAATCAACATGGACCTGGGCTCTGCCTGCCTACACTGTCTACCAGGGACAGCACAAACACACCCTGAAGTGGGCTTTTTTTTTCTTCTCTTGTTCTTTTTTTTTCTTGTTTGTTCTTGTTTTTTTTATGAGTACTCCTTTACTTTATGAGTTCTAGTTTTATTGTTGGTGGTCTGTTCTGTTCTTGTTTTTATTTCTTCCTTCTCTCTTTCCTGCCTGTCTTCTTCACCAATTTCCCAAAATTTGTATAATTTTTTTCTTTTGTCCTCCAGCCTTGTTTCAAATATCTTTCTCTTCTATTCCTCTATTTTCCCCCAAACCCCTTTTAAATTTTCTCCCCTGAGGGTAAAATCACTATTGAGGGCATATTTACTGTAATAATTTTCTGGTTTGTTTTGTTATATAACCACAAATATAGTTCATATGGTTATAGGTGGCAAATTAATAGTTCCCACAGTTTATCATTTTCCTGGCTGTGTTTGATGCTACTGTCATTACTGACTGTACTATTTTAGCCAAGGTGACATAACTGTTCTAATCAGTTCTTCTTCCTAGTATTCCAAGACGGAGATTGCCTGAGAGTCATAAACAATACTACAGGCCAGTGCCAGAGAACCAGGGGCTAGGCCAAATAGGCAGCAACTTCTCATCCCTAATAAATTGAAGAGGTAGGACCTTGCAACAGGCTCAAAACCCAAAAGCCAGCTAAACATGGAAGACATCTCCGTGAAGTAGTCATTTCCTATGGGTTCCCAATACTAGCAATAAAGCTACCTGCCATAAGCAATTTACAATCAACCAAGGAATTAAACTTTAAAAAAAAATGAGAAGACAAGGAAGCAAGATGCAACCCCAGACTTCTAGCTCAACAAAGACAAACGCAAGGGACAATGATGTGGTACAACTGGAAGGCCTGCAGCTGGACTCTCTGAGGTGTTAAGTGCAGAAGTAACAAAGCAAATGAATGAGGCTCTCGGGAAAAAAATCAAATCAGAAATAATTTCTCAGATAACTACAGAAATGGTGACCAGATGAAGGATATGGTCAGTGACTCTAGAGCAGATATAGATAAAAAAAATAGAGGAGCTTGGGAAAATGATTGAAACCATGAATCCCCAACATAAGAAAGAAATAGAATCCATGAAATAGATTCAAACAGATATCCAGGAGATTAAAAATTCCATTGAAAGTATACACAGCAGAATGAGCCAATGTGAGGACAGAATACCAGGTATAGAAGACAAGATTGTGGTTAGCAATCACGAAAAGAAAGATTTCTTAAAAATAGCAAGGGAAAGAAAAAAAATAGCAAGGGGGGCCGGGGATTTAGCTCAGTGGTTTCGTCGCCTGCTGCGCAAGAGCAAGGACCCGAGTTCGATCCCTGGTACCAAAAAAAAAAAAAAAGCAAGGGACCATGAAAAATTAATCCAAAAGCTGCTAAATGATGCAAAGAAGAATAACAAAAGATTGATTAGAGTTGATGAAAAAGCAAGAGATACCACAAACGACATGAAAAAACCTGTTCACAGAAGTAATAGAAAATTTTCTAAAAAAAAAAAAAGAAAATTTTCTAAGCATGGAAAAAGAATCTGATATACAGATAAGTAAGGCACACAGAACTCCAATTAGCCATAATTTTTAAAGAAACTACACCGAGGCATAAAATAGTCAAGATTCAAGAAATTCGACACAAGCACAGAATATTAAAAGCTGTTAGAGAAAAGAAATAAATGACCTATAAAGGAAAGCCCATCAGAATCACATCAGACTTCTCAACACAAACCCTCAAGTAAAAGAGAGCTTGGAGTAAAGTATTTCAAGGCCTAAAACAACCTCCAGCCCAGATTGATGTACCCCACAAAACTATCTTTCAAAACTGATGGATAAACATGATACTTCCATGGCAAACAACACCTGATGAAATTCATGACAACCAAACCAGCACTCCAAAATGTTGTGAAGGATATTCTATAAAGAGATAACAAGGACTACAACTCCATGAACCCCAACAGAATGGATCCACCAGGCAAAGCAAATAATTAAACAGAGGGGGCAAACAAGGGAACCAACAACAGGAAAATAACATGACAAGGATAAGTCAATATATATCAGTTATAACTATCAATGTAAATGGTTTCAATTCACCAGTCAAAAGAAATAGATTGGCAGAATGGATCAAGAAGAAAGATCCAACAATATGCTGTATACAAGAAACATGTAATTCAAAAAGAAATGTATAAAAAGAGAAACGCATAGACTGAAAGTCAAAGGATGGAAAACAATAATCCATGTGAGAGGAACCTGGAATAAAGCAGAGGTAGCTATTCTATTTACAGACAAAGTGGATATCAAGCCAAAACTGATTAAGAAAGACAAAAAGGTCACTATATCCTTGTTAAGGGAAAAATCCAAGAGGAAGAGATAACAATCATAAATATTCTAAAAAGCATTGAAGCATATACCTTAAAGGGTGAATTTTATCTCACCCCTTTGTGTCTCAATAAAGTTGATATTTAAAATATTTTTTAAAGGGCTGGGGGATTCAGCTCAGTGGTGCCGTCTGGCTCACAAGCATAAGGTCCTGAGTTCGATTCCTGGTACCAAAAAAATTTTTTTTAAATAATTACTAAAACAGTAAAGAATGGTCCCAATACAGAACTCAGAACTCAGCCACTCTCTGTAAATCAACTGGGATGGGAAGGACTTCTAGATTTGTCTAGAAGTCTTTTCCTTTGATGCCACCACAGAGGAAAGCAGAGCCTGGGAGCCCAAGAAGACCCTCCTAGTTTGAGTAGAAGTTGCCCATGAATGGATTTAGGTGTCCATAAAATGCAGTGCCCCAGACTGTACAATATCGAGGACACCATCTTATCTTTCTACCTGGTAGACTGAATTCTAACCTCACTTGCCTAAACTATGGCTACAGGTATCTTGTTCTGGATTGGGCTAGAGACAAACTCCTACACACTTCCTGGTGACACTACACATAATTTAACCAAACAACTGGGAATGGAAAAGCCTTTTGTAAAACTTGCCTTTCCCAATGATGAATGTCATCGTATTGTATACCTGAAATGTACCAATAAACAATGAATTAAAAAAAAAAACTTGCCTTAAAGCGAAAAAGGCTTATAGCTAAAAGAAATATGATTTAAATTACATGAATGTTTTGTTTTCCAGATTTTTAGATGTCCTGAATCAGGGTTTGGTCACAAGTTCAAAGATTTTTTTCAAACTGACAATACATACTTACTTACCTGCCAGCTGTTTTCTACAGAAATTCCTCTTTGTACTCGAATAATATATTCCTAAAAAGGGGGGGAGGAGGAGAAAGAGC